CTCATTGTAGTTTTAATTTGCATTTCTCTGATAATTAGCGATGTGGAGCATCTTTTCATGTGTCTGTTGGCCATCTGTATTTCTTTTTTGGAGAACTGTCTGTTCAGTTCCTCTGCCCATTTTTTAATTGGGTTATTTGTTTTTTGTTTGTTGAGGCGTGCTGTGGAATATTTTATAGAGCATTGGGTTGTCTAGTCTTTGAAAGTATGGTAGAATTTCTTGTGAAAGTATCTGGGGTCTGGTGCTTTTGTGTGGGATGGTTCCTTAATAAATTTCTCTATTCTTTCTATGGAATTGGTTGGTTTAAAACTTCTAACTCTAATGGGCGGTCAATTTTGAAAGTTTTTGTTTCCCTGGGAAATCATCCATTTCACTTTTTTTTCAAATTTATTTGTGTGCATGTCTGTGAAGTAGTTTAAAATTTTCTTCTGTTCCAAGTGTTTTTCTCCATTGACATTTGTATTTTGTGTTTTTATATTTTCTCCTGTTTTTCTTGATCAAATTAGTTAATGATTTGTTTAGTTTAATTCTTCTCAGAAACAGATTTTTTGTAAATTACATCTACTATTTATTCTCCTCATTAATTTCTTTTATCTTTATTTTCTTTGTGTGCTTTGTGGGGTTTATTTTGTTGTTCTTTTATAGTATTTTGAGCTGGAAATTTAATTCATTTCATTTTATTCTTTTATTTTTATTGGTAAAGGTTTTAGTGCAATGAATTTTCTTATCACTGCAGTAATTTTATCCTAGAGTCCAATATGTTTTCATTGTGATTAGGAGTCCCTCTTAATGAAAAAAGTACAAAATCATGAATATAAAAACAGAACCCAAAAATGGACTAACAGGTACCAAAGGGAAAGGGACTGGGGAGGATGGGTGGGTAGGGAGGGATAAGGGGGGGAAGAAGAAAGGGGATATTAAGATTAGCATGCATGGGGGCCCACATAAGGGAGGGGGCATAATATTTGAATTTCACTAGCTTCACAGTAAACCCACCTTTGTTCAAAAATAAGACTTGGGATTTACACCTGAGTTTTGTGTAAAGTGGTTGGCATTTTTGACATGGGCAGTAGTTAGGCAAGGCCTTGATACCATCAGTAGCAAGAAAGAAGAACTGGGAAGAGAATGAACTGTAATGGTACACATAGTTGTGCTAAGCACTTGGCAGACTTTATCTTGATAATCTTTACCACAAGCCTGATTCTTTTACTCTTACCAATTTATAAATTATTTAAAGGAGTTTCTGTAATGTTAACTAACTTGCTTCAGAGCATACAATTGGTAATGTATTTAAAATCCAACCCAGATCAACTCAGAAGCCCGTGTTCTTTTCACTACACACAATACATTGTTGGTGCCCAGAAAGGACTGGCTACATGCTCCTCCTACCTTCTTCCCTGAGCAGCAAGTTTAGGAACATGTATTAGAGAAAGCCACCTGTAAAGGCAAATACTAATAGTGCAGGATCACTTATTGTGGGGAATTGGACAAAGCATTCTTACTGTATTAGTCATCTGTTGCTGTGTAACAAATTATCCCCAGATGACAAATATTTATTGTATCCCAGGCTCTGAGGGTCAGGAGTCTGGGAGCAGCTAGGCTGGGTGGTTCTGTCTCAGGGTGGCTCATGAGGTCATTGTCAAGCAGTCATCTAGAACTGCAGCCAATGCAAGGCTCATCTGGGGCCAGAGGATCTGCTCCCAGGCTCACTCAATTAGCCTGGGAAACTGACCACCATTGACTGCACCACAGCTTCAAAGTCCGGTTTGTCTTGGCTACGGGATGGAGACTAGTTCCTTACCATGTAGGCCTCTCCATGGGGCTGCTTATACCATGGCAGCTGGCTCCCCACAGAGGGAGTGATCTGAGAGACAGAGGGGAAAACCGGAGAGCCCACCTAAGGTGGAGGCCAGTCTTCTTATCATGTATCTCAGAAGCAACATTTGTTCAAAGCAAATCACTAAGTCCAGCCACACTTTTAAAGGGTGGAGTATCAAAAAATGTGCAGATATGTTTTTAAAACTACCAGTCA